TCAGTGCGACTTTTTGTCCGGTGACGGGAATCTTTTCGCACAGCGAAGCTTTAAGGCAGACGATCACTCCGACTACCGGACATGTATTTTAATTGACACATTGGAGCGTTTCCTTCAGCAGATTAATCTTCACCGCAGCCCGATAAACCGTATTACGTATAACGTAGTTTCATCGACCACTGCAGCCAATTACATCCGCAGTATGCGTGGAGATGATTCTGATTGTGATTCAATGCTTTTAATTTCTCTTTGTTACGGTAAGCAGATCGCTGTCACGGAAGCACGTGCAAAAGAAGAATCAGCCTCTGCCGATGGGTTTGCAGGATCTGCCTTCTCCGACGAAGTTATGTTGAACGATGTTGAACAGCTAAAACATTTGATGGCATACGACCTTGGTCTGGCAGAAAAGGACTGTGCATGGCACTCACCTCTCCTTGCTTACGCCCAGTTGAAGGCATTGAAAAATATGCGCATCCGATCCAAGGAATCTGAAGATAAAAGACGTGAAAAATGGATGCAGCGAACTCAAGGATATCTCGAAAAACGAGAAGAGAGGAGAGATAGTGTTCCGCCGCTGCGGACTGACTCTCACAGAAATGTTGGACGCACTCGAAGTCGATCGATCAGCAGGACCAGAACATATCGACCCAGAGCTGAAACACCAGCACCGCCTCCGGCACCTGTGCGAGGTCCAGCAGCAAAGGCCAGACCAGTTGAACCTGTGAAATATAAAGCTGCACCGAGATCCTTGAAAGAACCACCAGCTCCGACGTCATCAGGATCTTCCTCTAGTGCTAGGCCGCCTGTAAAGGCTCCTCCAGTTCCGGCTCCCGGACGAACACTAGGTGCACAGCAGCCAAGAACGCCTCCTGATCCACCGGGACCGCCGAAGACTCCACCGCCGTGGAGAGAGAGATCTCAGCAGACTGAGCAGAGGCAAACGACCAGAAAAAGGCCGATCAACGTACCTGAACCTCCGGCGCCTCCATCCCGAATATCGGGTACACAATGGCTTAACCAAGGAACAGCTTCCAGCTCTTCCATATCTCGTAATTACGATTACAGCTATGATCAGCCGTCGCACTACAGAGTAAATCCCAACACCACTCAAGTAGAATACGTCCCAGGGTACCAGATACCCAGACAGCGTTGGGTCCAGAAATATGACGGATCGTGGCTTGACATGATCCCGCAGACACCGGATCAGTCCATTTTCTTTTATCAGACCGGTGAGCTAAGAAGGAGGAACGAATTGAGTTTTTACGGTTACTATTTCACTATGGGCTTGTAGCCCCAAAAAATTGCAATGTTCCGCATTTGCGGTCGCTTTCGTCCAATAGAAAATACCGCTTTCCAACAGCGGAGAGTAGCTTCTGTACAGTTTTGTTTTTGTCTTCGGACCGTCTCACAGCAGATCACAGGCTGAGCGCTACCTGTGAAACAGACTTGCATGTTCCGACACGAAGAAAATTTGTGTCTGTTTGTGATTTATTTTTGTTTACGTGTCTTCACAATGCATTCATGCATGTTGACATGTATACTTAATTCATATCTTTCATGCGCACTCCGCATGGCTCAAGACTAGCAGCAATTCCGCAGCATAGAAAAGTGTCCGCCGCTCACTGCTTGACACAGGTGTTTAGGATAGTGTTCCAGGGCTCCCTTAAAGGGGAAAGCTACCTCACCCCCCATGGGATGGGGGGGGGTATGATGCCCCTGTGGTGGTGTATATACATATATACATACATACCTACATACCTACCTACCTACCTACCTACCTACATACATACATACACACATACACACACACAGACCTACCTACCTACCTACCTACCTACCTACATACATACATACATACATACACGCATACACACAGACATACATACCTACCTACCTACCTACCTACCTACCTAACCTAACCTAACCTAACCTAACCTAACCTAACCTAACCTAACCTAACCTACCTACCTACCTAACCTTACCTACGTACACACGTACACACGTACACACGTACACGCGTACACGCGTACACGCGTACACACGTACACACGTACCTACATACATACATACATACATTACATGACATTACATGACATTACATGACATTACATGACATTACATGACATTACATGACATTACATGACATTACATGACATTACATGACATTACAATACATTACAATACATTACAATACATTACAATACATTACAATACATTACATTACATTACAATACATTACAATACATTACAATACATTACAATACATTACAATACATTACAATACATTACAATACATTACAATACATTACAATACATTACAATACATTACAATACATTACAATACTTACATTACATTACATTGCATTACATTACAATACATTACAATACATTACATTACATTACAATACATTACAATACTTACATTACATTACATTACATTACATTACATTACATTACATTACACACATACACACATACATACAGCAATCCACACATACACACCATAACACATCACACATACAACCCATACACACATACACCATACACCATCACACATACACACATACACACATACACTACATACACACATACACACAATACACACATACACACATACACACATACACACAAGCCCTACCCATACACATCCCAACCATACATACATACATACATACACACATACACACATACACACATACACACATACACACATACACACATACATACATACATACATACATACACAGACATACATACCTACCTACCTACCTACATACCTACATACCTACAAACCTACATACCTACGTACCTACGTACCTACGTACACACGTACCTACGTACCTACGTACACACGTACATACGTACATGCATACATACATGCATGCATGCATGCATGCATGCATACATCCATACACCCATACATCCATACATCCATACATCCATACATCCATACGTCCATCCATCCATCCATCCATACGTACCTACCTACATACCTACATACCTACATACCTACATACCTACATACCTACATACTTACATACCTACATACCTACATACCAACATACCTACATACCTACATACCAACATACCAACATACCAACATACCACCACCACAGGCCACAGCGGGGGGGGACCAGAAGAACCATACCACCACCACAGGCCACAGGGGGGGGGGCCAAAGACCATCCCCACCACCACAGGCCACGGGGGGGGGACCAAAGAACCCATACGATTACTGTCCCCCATAACCCCATTGGTGGGGGGGGAGGGGGTCTGGCCAACGCTGCACCATATATATATATATTTTTTCAAACTGTAGACACACATCTACACATGCATATATACATATATATATATATATAATCATCTTTTTGCAAAATTGTCCCCCCAACAAGACAACATGGGGTACGTTTTTGTAGTAGGGGAAAGGGATTCAATGCGATCTAACCAAGAAATAGTGGATATGAATGGGGTATGAACCACTGAAATCCGTTGAAACCAACTGAATGAATCAAGGGATAGCCCAGCAACATCTTATGGGTAAACAACCTAGTGATGGATAGTTTACCACTTCAATCGTTTGCCGGTGTGGATTTGTCTCACCAGTGACTGTATTTTGCGCAGTTTTCATCTTTTGCCAGAAATGGTGGGGCTAGATATTCAGCCAGCAGAAGAAATCATTTGTTTGTACAGGGTACAGTATCTAAGATTGGCAATGTGAACCATGAATAAAATGGTGTGAACTGCGTGGTACAAAGACTGGAGTTGCGTTTTTTCTTAAACATCCATACTTGGATGGGATGATGGGGTCCAGTGGCCGGGTATCATCCCAACTCGGCTGGAGCAGTTCTGGCCATTTTTTGGTTGCTTTACTATTACGCCTGTGTGTGAATGTTTGGTAACTCATATGATCTGATAGGCCAACCCAATGTATGTGTGTTTAGCTCCCAGGGAGAAGCACACACACACAATTTTCAAATATACAATGAGAACATATGAGTATCACGGTATGATATCACGGTATGATATTTGCGTATTGTGATTACGTACTGGTGTAGCATATAATATATACATGTCTATATATTTCTAGAATGGCACCATGTTTTTTTTTACAATCCCTTCCTTCTAGTTCAACACACCGTCAGATCAGATCCCCCGGTTTAGCATTATTTTCTTTTTAGGGGCTCAAACAATGATTTAGAATCTTCGAACATATAATGTATATAAGTGCATTTAAGGAGCAAATATCCATTTTACCAAAACATGTCAAAAGAACGTAATGTTACGGCCAGGCGCTGTGTGTTGCCCGGACGGTTCAAATGGCGTTTAAACATGTTGTCCGCCGTCCGCAACCTTAACGTTCGCCCAGACTCACCATTGTATCCATTGTGACATGTGTTGATTCGGGTAATTACAGCAACTTTATCTTCATGAGGGATCAAAATTCCCACCCCCTCTGAACAATACGTTGATTGGGATAAACACATCAACTTTATCTTCATGAGGGATTAAAATTCGCCACCCCCTATGATCAATGTTGAATGGGGTAATAACATCAACTTTATCTTCATGAGGGATCAAATTCGCCACCCCCTCAGAACAATATTGGCGGGACATCAACTCCGGGCAAACGTCCAGGTTGCAGCAAACATGTTTAAACATTACTGTAGCCTTCAACATGCTCAAACACCTGCGCAGGGCCAGTGTTTTGAGATTTCCCAGACGAACCCTAAACCCTAAAACCCTAAACCATCCTTCCTAAACCCTAAAACCCCAAGCCCTAAAACCCTAAACCCTAAAACCTAGGCTCTGAAAACTTTAAATCCTAAACTGGAAAACACTGCGTATACACAGTATTTTCTGCAATCTCTCCTATCATATGTTCGACAGCACGACATTCTCAATGTTAATGTCTGGGCAACGCACGGCGTTTGTGGGGAATGTTAGTCTGGGTTAATATCCGTGATATTGTTTTTTTGAAATCTAATTCTCGATCTCAGGTCACGTGGGCGAAGAGATCCTGCTGAAAATCAGGACAGCTGGAAGCGGAGCGGGTTCAGCGACATGTTTCGGTTGGTTTCTTTTTTGTTTAAGGAATATTGGCATCATTGGTGAAAAATGGTGAAAGAACCATGATATAGTGATGCTTATAGTGATGCTTATAGGATTTGTGTGCAAATAACAGTTGGCGTATGTTTTCTCGTCACATTGTTTGGTACGAATGCAGTACCCCTATCCAGGGTATAGAGTCTAGAGTATAGGAGCGATTGAGGGTGATCTACTTGTTGACTGGGCTATCTAGCATGATATCGCATGATTTCCTAGAATCCACCCAATTCCTTTGTGCATCTCATGATCCCAACATTGTGATATTCCGCCATTAAAGGGATCAAATGATCCCAACATTGTGATTTCTCGTGTTTTTTTTAAAATATTCCATCATTGTGATATTCCTTTGTGCATCTCATGCCCATTTTAAAGTTCAAAGGGATATTTTTGATTAAAAAGACAAGCAAACCGCATTCTGATTCTGAAGACTCATGCTAGCTCTACTTGTCGCATTTAAGATGTCACATTATTTTACTGAAATGCATTCGAGTCTGGATAATGCATGTTACCCTGTATTCTTTGTTCCTTTAGATGTACGGTGTCGGGACGCTTTTGATTATGGTTGTTGTGGGTGGTTTGATTTTATCAGGGTCACCCTGACCCAC